TAAACTTGATGGGCACGCCAGACTTCACATTTGTTAACTTCTTTGAACGTACATATAATTGAAAATTAATTATGATTTAAATCACGCAAAAGAGAAAGTCTTTATTGCATAGAAACATCCTTAGCTTATTGACCAAAAAAACAAAAATCCTTGGCTTAAAACATCAATCATGATGATCTTCTACATAAATTTTCTTTGCTTCCACATCAGAAATATATCAAACAAGATTATATTTAAGACCAAATTAAATTTCTAACTAGCTCTTATATTAAAGACATAAACTAGTATATACCACCTCTAATCCTTAATATAAGAGCTAGTTTGGTCATAAATGTAAGACTTCAATCCACTATGTTTCTCATATTTATCTATTTTTTCTCAAGGTAGCCCTTATAATAATTACACATGTTAAATATTTTATCAAATGGTAATTCTAGTTAATACATTTGATTAGCAAAAGTATTTTAAAAAAGACAATACCTATTTATTACAAATAACTAACTTAACTAATTTTTTTAATCTATACAAATTAATCAACTAGTCCTTATATTAAAAACCAGTAGTAGTATAAAGAGAGAGTCAACGTCAAAATTTCAATGAACAAGCAAAGTTACAGACACACACGAATTCTACGGGCAAACACTAACATGTTTACTTTTTCCCACTTGCTTCACATTTTTAAATTCGGGATCCAGGAGCACATCTTATAATATATATACCATGTGCACATCTCACACAGACCGCCTAATGTCAATAGTCAAAATCTTAGTTTTTTTATTAGATCTTTTAGATACCGGTTTGAAAAGTAATTTTAATAAAGACAAATAAAATAGCAAGTGTTCAAGTCGAATTTTAGTCACCTAAATATAAATATATAAGGTGAGATATATATCAGCAGGATGTAGTAAAGCTTTTACACCTAAAAAGCTTCCGTTCTTGAATGATACCAGGCCACATGGCTTTTGATCCCGTTTCGTTTATCCCATTTCAATCAAAACACCTCCATGCATCAATCTTTACCATCTTCTACATAATGTTGTTTTGCTTCCAACATATCAAAGCTGCATCAAACGAGACAGATTATTTGGCATTGCTCAAGTTTAAAGACTCAATAACTGATGATCCTAATGAGATCTTGAGCTCTTGGAATGGTTCAAACCACTTCTGCAGTTGGACTGGAATCACATGCGGCCACAACCATAAGCGAGTGACAGAGTTGAATCTGAGAGGTTATCATCTAGGTGGGACCATATCACCCCACATTGGCAATCTGTCTTTCTTGAGAAATCTCTCCCTCAAACAATAATTTCTATGGAGAAATCCCACCAGAGTTGGGATGTTTGTTCAGGTTGAAAGAACTCTCTCTTGGGAACAACAGATTAAAAGGAGAGATTCCACGGAACTTGACGAGTTGCACTGAACTGATGCGCTTGAATTTATCAATGAATGGTCTCACAGGTAAGATACCATCCCAGATTGGCTCTCTTTATCAGCTTGAAAGGTTTGCCATTCACAACAACAATTTGACTGGAAAACTCCCAGCTTCAATGTGGAATCTATCTTATTTGCCAAATCTTGACATAGCTTATAATCAATTGGAAGGAAGGATCCCTGAAGAGATAGCTAATTTGAAGAACTTGAAAATTTTGTCAGCAGTTTCAAATCATTTTTCTGGTGCTCTTCCTCGCTCACTTTTCAACATGTCATCTCTCATTGTCATATCATTAGCAGAAAACCAGTTGAATATGACCCGACTTCCAGATAACATGTTCTCCACCCTCACAAATCTAAAATTTTTTATCATAGGTTTGAATCAAATCTCAGGTCCCATACCAAGTTCCATCACAAATGCATCTTCTCTTCAAGCTTTTGATATTACTTCTACCTCTTTTGTTGACCAAGTTCCAAGTCTTGGAACTCTAAAAGATTTGCGCCTTCTAAATTTGGAGGAAAACAATCTTGGCAGCAATTCGAGTGATGACTTGAATTTCATAACGTCTTTGCAAAATTGCAGCAAACTAGAAAGCTTAGCTCTAGTCAGCAACAATTTTGGAGGTGTTTTACCCAATTCCATAGGAAATCTGTCAACCCAGCTCATTCGATTGTACCTAGGTGGTCATCAGATATATGGAACCATTCCTAGATCTCTAGGGAAGTATACAAATTTAATTACCTTGACTCTTGACCAAAACAAATTATCAGGAACCATTCCATCTTCTTTGGGCAATCTTCAGAAGGTGCAATTGCTAGCATTGAGTGTAAACCAACTCTCAGGAGAGATACCCACCTCTATGGGAAATCTCAGCCAATTGGCTATCCTAGACTTCTCAGAAAATATGCTAGAAGGGAAAATTCCTCCTATATTTGCAAACATGAACTATTTACAGCACCTTGACCTTGGAAAAAACAATTTCCAAGGATCGATACCCTTGCAAATTTTTGGCCTTTCTTCTTTGTCTATTTTACTGAACTTATCTCACAACTCTTTGAATGGCCCTTTGCCTTCTGAGGTTGGAACCCTTCAACACCTCAACACTTTGGATATATCTGAAAACCATCTCTCTGGTGAGATTCCTTCTTCTGTAGGAGAGTGCACAAGCATGGAATACCTTGACTTAAGAGGCAATTCCTTCAATGGATCCATGCCTTCTTCACTAGCTTCCTTGAAGAGTCTTGCATATTTAGATATATCATCAAACAACTTGTCTGGGCCAATAGTAATTGGCTTACAAAACATTTCCTTTCTTGAATACTTGAATGTTTCTTTCAATATGATGGATGATGAACTACCAACAAAAGGAGTTTTCAGCAATGCAAGTGCAATATCAGTAACTGGAAATATCAAACTTTGTGGGGGCATTTCTGAGCTACACCTACCACCATGCGCCATCAAAGCTGACACGCAAAGAAGACATCACAATTTAAAGCTTATGGTGATAATGATTTGCTTGGGTTTTTCTCTCCTAATGATATTTATTCTTGCTTTCTACTGGAGGCGAAAAAGAAATTGGACATTATCTTCATCAGAGAAGACACCAACAATTAAACAACTTTCCAAGGTGTCATATCAAAATCTGCACATTGCAACTGAAGGCTTCTTTGCCAACAACTTTATTGGATCTGGGAGTTTTGGCTCAGTATATAAAGGAAGGCTAGAATCAGAAGATAAAGTTGTTGCAATAAAGGTACTAAATCTTCAAAAGAAGGGAGCTCACAAAAGTTTCATCTCAGAATGTAATGCCCTAAAAAACATAAGGCATCGAAATCTAATTAAAATTCTAACATGTTGCTCAAGCATTGATTATAAAGGACGAGAATTTAAAGCACTAGTCTTTGAGTACATGTCAAATGGAAGCCTCGAAAAATGGCTGCATCCTGATCTAGATAGTACAAACCAGTGTTTGATATTGGATCTTCATCAAAGATTACACATCATATGTGAAGTGGCCTCTGCACTTCATTATCTTCATTTTGAATGTGAGCAACCAATTATTCATTGTGATTTAAAGCCAAGCAATGTCCTTTGATAGTGATATGGTAGCTCATGTGAGTGATTTTGGGCTAGCAAGACTTCTCTCAACCATTAATGGCAGCCCTTCAAGCAAACCAGCACAACTGGAATAAAAGGGACTATTGGGTATGCTCCTCCAGGTATGATTGGCCTTCATTTGAGCTTTTTAACTATCATAAAATTCATTTATATATAACATCTCCTTTTTTAAGTTTTAGAATAATTAATTTCTAAGCATTGACAATTGTGTAACATTTTTCAGAGTACGGAATAGGTTCTGACATTTCAACACAGGGTGATGTATATTCTTTTGGCATCCTTGTTTTGGAAATGTTAACGGGAAGAAGACCCAAAGAAGAAATGTTCAAAGATGGGAACAATCTCCATACCTATGTCAAAACTGCATATCCAAATAATCTTTTGGAAATTGTAGACTCAACTCTTTTGACACAACACATGCAACAGACAAGAAGAGCAGCAGAAAAGGAAATCATCATGGAAAATCTTACTGTTTTGCCTCCTTGTGATGAGAAGTCTATACTTCTATTATTTGAGATTGGACTTGCTTGTTCAGTAGAATCACCAACAGAAAGGTTGAAAATGATGGATGTCATGAGGGAGCTAAATCAAATTAGAAAATGACCACAAAACAGAGAATGGGGAATGATGACCTTTGCAGTGTGATACCACAAAACAAAAGCCACTATGTAAAAGATTTGTGGTTGCAACATTCCAAATAATGGTCCCTTTTTTTTTTTCTCCCTTTTAGTTCTTTTATCTTTGAACTCTGCAATGGCTTTACCAGAAGAATTCTAGAGGATTAGGCTCCATTGGATCTCTTTTGCCCTTGTTAGAACTGTAATTACGGATGGGGACTTCACATGAAATAGATGACATCATTTATCATTTCTGATTAGTTAAAGCCTCAAGAAAACGTTTCTCAATTCATATATTATTTATCATAATAGCATTACATCCTGCTATATTTGATCCTTTCTTGTCTTTTAAAGGTTTCATCACTCAACGAATCACAAGGTCCAAAGAAATGAAGTAAAGATGCAAATGCAACCTCAAACACAAGACGAAAAATTTCAACAATCGTTATCCCTAAAGTTCTTAAGTTTAGAAACGAAGGGAATGAATAAAACAAACGCCATGGAAGATCAAACAACTTTTTGACAAGGATGCTTGCATATGAAATGATAAATATACTAAAAGGTTGGCCAAAAAAAATTATACTAAGATATTAAAAAATAATAAATTCTCTTAAGGACCAATCCAAAAACAACGCCAATGCCTTCCAACTAGTGGATCCCTAAATTGCGATCCAATATATGCAATATCAAAGGAGAAAAATAAACTTTTGAATTTGTAACTTCAAAGAGCCTTAACAATAACTTCCAGATAACACAAGTGGTGGCTTTGATCTTTTAGAAGAATTTTAATTTTAATTTCTAAATCCTTTCCGGTTGATACTTTCCCCGCGAGATCTCAAGTGAAAAATTTTCTTTCTTGGCCCAAAAGGCAAACAAAACTACAGAGTCAAGGGGAAAAAGAGATCCCAGGAAGAAGAACTACAAAATTTATAATCTTGGACATACAACTATGTAAGCCACTGTTGCCAGTTCAGTAAGGAGTGAAAATTAATCACTTCTGTGCAAAACAAGGAAGCTTCTGCAACAAAACTAGTAGTGATGGTCATGAATGACACCTACTTCCCAGACTTCAGTTTGCTAACTTGGCATTTCCTCAACTCTTTATGCTTTGCCCAGTACTTGAGCCTGAAGATTTTGGTTGTCTTCCAACAGTCGGTCATATTCAAGTAGCAGATCGGCAGCTTGTTTTTGGAGGGAAGCAACATGAACTTCAGCAGTCTCAACTCTCTTATCCTTCTCTTCACATTCTAACTTTGCCTTTTTCAAACTTTCTGAAAGGCTTGAAATTTCTTCCTTCAGCTTCTTTAGCTCCTTGGAAGCTTTCTCTTCCTTATCTTCAAATTGAACCTGTTCTTTCCGAAGCCTTTCTAGCTCTTCTTTAGAAGATCCCACATTGCCCCTCAAATTAATTAGCTTCCGAAGATAATGGTGCATCCTATCGATTATGAATCCAAGGAATAATGTAAAACCTGCATTGAAAAACACAGGGCTTCAGGAAAAGATAAAGCTAAGACATCAACACACAAATGTCTACGTGTAATTTAAGATATGTGGCGTCTGATATAATTCGCCAAAACATAAGGCATAAACCGAAATTCAAATCCTCAACATTCACCAAAGTAAATGCATATAGTGTATTCACAAAATGAGGTTTTAAAAAAACAACGGAAAATATGGTTGACGTAAATATTAAATGTGAACCATAGAGTTTTCTGATAAATGCATATAGTATCATAAAGTACTTGAAACACCAAATAGCAAATGCTTCAAGAATCGCATTTAAGTTTTCTACTTCACTTAATATATGTTTGGTCACTGGAAATCACAGCAGCAACCAATGACAAACTTCTGCAATCTCTCAAAAGTTCCATAGTCATAAATGGGAGCCTTATAGTGATATTAAGTTTATGAGTCCACAGAAAACTAATGGACTAAAACTGGTCAGTGATTAACTGTTGAACAAGAAAACAGGCATGGGCTGAGCTTCATACAGACAATCCTCTACAGATACTCTTTTAATACTTGGGCCACACTTCAAAACTTGTCAGTGCCGGCATCAACTTTAATACTAGCAACAAAGGGACGAACTCTAAATTGATCCAGCAACTTCTTCACCATAGGATATCATATTTTAATGTTTATCCGCTCTAAAATTGTTGAACATCTAATTTAACAGGGAAATATTCATAGGGTTTAATGCTTTTAATTGCTTGCTTGTGTTTACCAGTTAGAGAGCCATGATTCTTGGGCATTTAATGGGCAGATTATTCATAGGAATTACATGGGTCTCTCAGTAGGCTAATAGATTGAAGAGAAATGCTTTTTTACCCATAAATTAGTTAAGGCTGATAGGCTGAACCATTTGTGGCTTCTAATTTCCTATAAATTGCAATTATTGAGCTTGAAATAAATAAGGAATTTCATTGTGAAATCCTTCACAAATTATTCAAGAACCCCTGTACCCTGCATCGACTTCAGAAACACCACACAATTAACCGTATAGAAACACTAGGAAACCTATATGGAATGTAAATTATAAATCAACGTACAAAGAAAAAATTCCAAGCATGATTTATGCCGCTTATGAGAACAACATGACTTTAAATAACTGACATTAATGAATTGTGAAGAACCTGCTATGCATAAAAGACGCTAAATTAATTTCTCATGAATTTTTCTCTGAGCAAGTCTACACAAAAATATTTGTCAAGTCAAAAACCACTTAATTAAAATACTTCCCATCACAAGCTTTCCATGGCCAGTTTATTATCACAATCCCACGAACACAACCACAAGATCAACTGCCAAGAACACACTGGAGATATAACCACCAACACATCAGAAATCACCTTGAGAATAGTGGTCCCACCATCACTGCTATCACAACTACTACCAAGAAGCATTTAGTCCACCATCATCTTAATGGTATCTTGGATGTTAGAAGGCACCCAAGATGTGCATTGGTACATTGTTACCCAAGAGATCAGATTGCTTAGAATGACGCAATTTTAGGGAAAATTTCTGTGTATTCCGAAAATTATTGAAATCCCACATCTCTAAAGTATAAGCTTTGTTGACTTTGACAAGATACCAAGTGTATTCTTGTCATGACAAATTTTAATTATCATACCAAGCATTCTCAAATACATTTATTAATACCATGGTATCCAAGATATGCAAGAAAGTGTCACCTGGGGAATAATACTAATAGCAGTTAAGAAACAGCTCAGTGCATACTTTGATCCCTACACCCTTTCCAATGCCATGATGTATCTAGCTTATCTCCAAGAAACTTACAAGCCAGAGGCAAGGGAAAGATAACGGGATTGCAGGAGTAAAAGAAGGAAAAATAGAGAGAACAAAAGAACCTATCCATTAGTCCAGACTAAAGAGTAGTGACAGAAGAGATCGAAGATAACTAGACTAAAAGGTGCCTTCCCAAAGCAACAAGACTGGTCTGTTGATCTCCACCAGCATCACCAGCCAATATGCTTCATCTTCTCTAGGCGCAGTCAAATTTTCCGTCTCAGGCCCCCAAAAAAAAAAAAAATTCAGCAAGCAACCCAATTTGGGCTTTGATGAGGTCATGATTGACCATTCTAGGATGCTCAGCTTCTCCAATTCACCCGCTAGTAAGCAAGACCCTGATGTATTTTGGTTAACAAGGGGACCCGGTTGTTGCAATGAACTGGCAAAGACCCATGAAAATAGGCCTTACAAAATTGTTGACAAGTCTTTCTTGCAGAGGAAATTTGGGCCTTTGAATTTTGACATTGGGTAGCTACATCAACTTGTTGGAATTACGGTTTGGGGGGGAAAAAAAGTTATTTTCTAATGAATTTTTTTAATTTCCCCATTGGCACATGGGAATTTACAATAGTTAAGAATTGGTTAGGAGGGGTAGTGACTTGGAGCTTTCTTTATATACATAGGGGTTATAGAGAAATAGTAGGTGTGAGAAATGAATTGAAATCACCTTGTATCTTTACCACGTACCAGAAAGTAAGACTAAAATGTACAAAATGGCTCCAAAGAAAGCAAACCGAAAACTAAACAATGAAAAGTCAGGAATCACAGTTGAAGAGAAAAGTGAGAGGATTCAAATTATAACACAAAATTATGTGCAAAATGATTCAGCCAAAGTGCATTTTATTATGACCACCACTATCCACTGCTTTAGCCTCAGTACGCTCTGTCGTTAGGCACTTATTTACTGATTTCTAACCATCACTGTAGAAAAGGCACCATTTCTTCCCCAGTTAAAAGACCGACAGATTTATCATGTATGCAGTGCTCAAAGACAATTCCCCTGTGAAAGTTCTTTCACAGTAAAATAGCATTTGTGCTCAACTATAAGTTAAGCCGATATGACATTTGGAAAATATATATTTGAACACCATATAATTATAACAACAAACATAGAAACAATTCCCAAATACAAACCCAAAAAAACAGAAACATATCAATGAATGAAACAAGTCAGTCGCTGGCCAAAAAAAAACAGAGAGAAAAAGGAAAAAAAGAAACCAGTCAGTCACCCAAGTCATCCTGTCTCAGCTAGCAAAGGCTTAAGCAGGTTTGCATATGAAACCACTTAGAAGCTGAATTTAGAGTGAAGCTCATGCAATCTGAGAATGGTGACTGGTAATTCCATACAGAGATGTGAACAGAATTTACAATGTATTACCCATGTTCTGAAAATAGGACCAGTCATTGAATTAATCAGCGAAGAGACAGGTTCAAAGCTGTGTGATTCAATATAAGCTATGACAAGTTAAAAACAAAGCATATAACAATTAGTAGTGAAAGCTGTTTTCACCAGTTCACAGTTTCACAAGTTTTGCTTCATAACATCTTTAGGGCTCAATCCAACCTGAAAGCTTTCTTCCACCCTAACCAGCTAGTCATGCTGTTATCAGAACACCCTATCACATTCCACTGGTGGTCCTATACTGATTTATATTTTATTGAAATCTCATGATGGAGTAAGTTTCCTATTTTCCTAAGCAGTAAAAGTTAAGTATGACATGTTTTCAGTCTGAGGCACCAACACTGCCAAAAACTATACGTAGAGTATTCCTCCTACTAACATGCACACAAGCCGAGCCAAGGAACAGAAACCAAAAATACATAACAATGCTAACTCATTATTTCCTTTTGTCTTCCGTTGTTAACAAAGATTCTACATTTAACTTCAGCTTACAATTAAAACAGAAGAGCAGGTCACGCCCACCACAACTGCACCCTTGTCCTGAGCCCCAAGCCAAAGATACTAACAAGTAAAGTAGCAAAACTTCCTTAATAATCGTACAAGATTTAAAAATCAAAATTAATAAAACCGGGCATAATGTGGAGAGGGCTAAAACAATAAGCATGCAAGCAAATAAGCTTCAAAGCGTACCCATGAGTGAAGCCTCGAGCAAGTGCGTCCTCCACAGAACTTGATCCATAGGAGACATAGTGCCAAGCTTAGCACCCTTGTTCTGGATCTTAAAAATGCTCATGACGCTTGAGAGGAGGATTACAGACATAGTACCAGCAATAGTTTTCACAGTAGCAGGACCCTTCCCCATCTTCAGCTGATCAAGACTCTTGATTACAAGATCTCTCAATGGCCCAATCTTCACCAACAAAAGAAAAGCCAGGACAGCCTCCGCAAACAGAACCAAGAACAAAAGCTGAATCATCCTTGCTTCTTTATAAAACAAAAAAACAAAACAAAAACAAAAACCTACTTGCTGAAATTCCTCAAGAAATGGAATCAAACCTACAAAAAATACTTTTTTTTCTCAGGAAGAAAAATACCCACAAAAACCCTCCTCGTACAGATCCATTTGCATTTGACTAAAATTAAAACTATAGCAGAAGATTCACAAGAATATACAACCCAAAACTTCTGTTACGATTTGGATTTTGCCGGCATTGGTTTCCACCGCATGCCGAAACCTGGATTTTTCAGTACTAATGCTGATTAGCAATGAGAGAACTGAATACTTAGCCTAGAGTAGAAAGAAAGAAAGAAAGAAAGAAGCTCTTTGAAATAAGCCACTAAACTCACTTGTAAGTGGTTTGCTTCTTCATAAAGGGATATTTTAGGTTTGGGATTAGCGGGTGTGTTACCTGCAAAGAATGGGTTTTGCTTTGCTTTTCGCAAGCCAGAGAGGATTGGGAAACGTAAAGTAGCAGAAATTGGGGCGTGACACAGTCAAAAAGTGAACAGAACACCATTGTTTTTTACTTTTTCTTTTATTTTAATGATTTAGAGTTCGGGAGGAAGGGGGAATGTTTTATACATGATTATCAGATCCACCTTTTATAATTTTAGTTTAATTATTTATTTGTGTATTTTTATTTAAATTTGATCCTCTGAATTCTTTCAACTCACATAAGTATTCTTTCTACACTCTTCATAAAGCTATTAGTATTTTCAAGCTTTATCTTGCGAGTAAACAAAATTCAAATCTTTTGCAGATACTTATAACATGCTTTTTCAACACTTAAATTTTTTGTTTTTGATTGATTATTTACTTTAAATTATTTTTTTCTTTAGTCTTATCTACTTTATTGTAATCCAGTTAATTTATTATTTCTGATTTCTGCTTCTAGAAATTGTTTGCTTTTCTCTTTATTTTCATAAAATATAACAATTATTTTTATTTTATTTTAATGATTTAGAGTTTATTTTTTCTTAAAAATAAAATGTTCAGAATTTTTAAATTTTAAGACAAGGAAAAATAAAAATAACAAAATAATTATATTGGTCGGGCCTTTTAAAAAAAAAAAGAAGCAGTTTATTGACTAAATTAAAACAACATATTATAACCTAATAACTATTTAAATTTCAGTTACATTTATTAAAATGAATGTCTCATCTCATGTTAATTAAGTAAAGTTAAGTATGATCATCGCATTTAAAATTGAGTGAGCTCCTATCAAAATTATACACCCTTTCAGTTACTAATTTTAATTAAAATTACATTTACAATTAAAATTACATTTACAATTAACTATTTTAAGTTTACTCCATGTGGTCATACCATAGCTTATTTGAATATCGGAATTTACACACACACAAAATATTAGCTATTTAATTAATTCGTTTTTTTTTCCCACTTGAGTTTCATTTTTTCCAACAAAAGCGTGAACTGGTTGAGAAAAAGACAGCCTCTTTCAACAGCGTCCCAAGTGACGTCGTCCTTTGTGAAGACCACCAAAGTCAAGGGGACCGTGAATTTTTTTTGTCGCCCTTTTCTTTTCATTTCCTTTAAATTTTTAATTGCTTGAGAATATAAAAAAATTATTTTGCAAATACCTATATTTTTTCTAAATACATATATTAAGGAAATTATCATTATAAGATAATTCTAATAGCCATGATTAAAAAATGTAGTGTAGGAAAACTAATACATATTTGTTACTAACAACTAACATATTTGTTACTAGTAACTAATTTTTAACTTAACTAATTTTTTAATGTGTATAAATTAATTATCTAGCCTTTATATTAAGCATATACAGTAGTAGTTATCTGAGCAACTTAATCCTAACTTAATCTTTTTTGTTGGACTGAATCGTAACTCAAACTTAAAGCAAAACAAAAAAAAATTATAGAAATAGGGAACTCCACTAAAGAGAAAATAACATCATAAATTCAAAACCTAATGGATAAATATCATTCTTCAAATAATATTAATAAAATAAACTTAAATATATAAAAATCTCCCAAACAATCATAATTAATCATTATCCCATATTCCATCGAAAGCCTTTTGTCACAATTGCCCGACACACTAGTCTTCAATACAGAGAAATAATGCATTATTTATCCAAATGGAGTAATATTGCTATAGCCTCCATCTCAAGGACTCAACAAATCCAAGTCAATTGCAAGCACTATTTGGATTTTGGAACAACCGTACAATCCAAATCTTGGACACTCATTTTCAGGCCCTCTTTGAAATGGAGCCCATTTAAATAGGTTTTGGGCCAATTTTTTGCATCAGGCCCATTCATTATCCAATCACAACACCTTTATAAATAGAAATACGTACTAACAATAGTTGAATCCAGTAGAAGAAACTAGTTTCTTATAACATGTGAAACCAATCTTCAAATTCTTATTAAAAAAGGTGCGCACATTTAGTTTCTAATAGTATCTTGATCAAAATTGCCTCTAAGGAAATGACACCTACTCTTAGCCTAAAAAAAGGGAAATTGGTTAATAATCCCATTTTAAAAAGTTTACTAGCCAAAAAAACAGACTTATTTGAATTTAAGTCATTAAGCGGGTGTAACTCTTTTTCAATTATGTTCAAGTAACCTTTATTTTGAAAGCAGCGATGAAGCAATAAAATTTCTAAACAGATAGTTTTTTTTTTTTTTTACAATTTTCCCAAAAGAGAATGTGATCTTCATGTCTTTGGGCACGAACCTCATATTCAATCCGCATTGTTTTAGCAGAGATACAAGATGGAGGGCAGCTGTGACGTAATTGACTCCTCTAAGCGTCAGTTATTAAATTAAATTTAAAAATATTATCTATTAAAATTAAATTCCAAATTCTAATATATAAAGGTTAACCGTATTCTGAAACACAGAAAAAAAAAATTATTGGTTTATCAAATCATCTATCAATTCATGAAAAAGATTCAACAAAAGACAAAAACAAATCTACTACGTGTTTTATATCTCATTTTTTCTGTGAAAGGGAGTCCAAATAACAAACATAATCTCATTCCTAACAGGGATTTTTTTCTTCTTTTCATTTATTTTAGATTCTTTATTAATTAGATTTTTTATGATTATTAGAATTTTTCATCATCTATTAGTTATTCTATTAAATTAACCAATTAATAAGTAACTATAAAATTTGATATTTTTATTATTCTTTTCCTGCTTCTGCCGTGCTTTAATTTCCATGGCGGTAATATATATATACTTGGTATTTGGCCGTATTGGATCAATTGGCATGGAGACTCACGTTTTTTGATTCTGAAGAATAACTCTCGTATAGCTCTTTTTTATGGCTTCTTCTCTCTAGCTTCCATTCTACCGGTGCATTTGCTGTATAACTATGTGGCGTTCGGCTTGTTATTCCACATCCTCTGTGCATACCGGATTGCTTATCGGATCTCAGGTATTCCCTGAAATCCTTCATGAGGAAATAAGAGATTAGAGCATTGGTAGGCGAGGTAGAGTGGATAAAATTTGCAAAGCTGGATCATCGAATGATGAAGAAGCTCTACAGCTTTTTTGTAAGCCATTGGCAAAGTTATCTAATTCTCATTCATTTTTTTCCTCAAGAAATGAGTTAACTTTTCAGATGTCTTGGATGAATCTAGTCTCGAATCTGTGATTATATTTTAGTTAATTATTACGTCTATAATGTAATTAAAGTGTAACAAGAAGGTGCATATAGTAAGTTGGAGTGCTTTTTAAGTCATCATTGTTTCTTATTGAAAAGTAAACCAAGTTTAACGGTTCATCTCTACCACCAAATTCAGAGCACGCAGATTTTGACACTTTGAAGAAGCTCTACAGCTTTTTTGTATTGGCAAAGTTATCTAATTCTCATTCATTTTTTCCTCAAGAAATCTTTTCAGATGTCTTGGATGAATCTAGTCTCGAATCTGTGATTATATTTTAGTTAATTATTACGTCTATAATGTAATTAAAGTGTAACAAGAAGGTGCATATAGTAAGTTGGAGTTTTTTAAGTCATCATTGTTTCTTATTGAAAAGTAAACCAAGTTTAACGGTTCATCTCTACCACCAAATTCAGAGCACGCAGATTTTGACACTTTGTTAGATCTTTGCTGCTTCCAAAAATCAGTTTAGGGTATTTATTTGTGTATGGAATGGCTTTTATGATTAAAAGCTTCTAGCTAAGAAGTTGCATTTCAGATTAAGTCAGTTTTTGTTTTCATTGCTTCTGCTTTATCCTTATTTATTTTGTGCTTGTGTTTTTATTCTTATTTCTCTCTGCCTATCGGTATGTAGATTTATGAATGGAATGAGGGCAAGTAAGAATGAGTGTCATTAAATTTTAGTATTTGTACTTGTATTTTTTCCTTGTTTGTTTCATTTTCTGCTACCTTGTTTTATTTTCCTGCATTAATTATTTTATATATTTTTAATAAAATAATTTGTTAATTTATTGAATACATCTAATTAAGTTTTTTGTATTTAAATTTTTTTCTGATAATACATTAACTCGTTTTTTAATTTTAATTTTACTTTTAATATTTTATCAGAGTTGCCCAATTATATATTCTGTAAAATTCATGTCATATGTAGTTGCTTATTTTACATCTAAACTATTTTTTTAATTATGCCATCTAAACAAAATAAATCGTATCAAGTTCAAATAAATGTAATAACAAAATCAAGATTGAACTAACCAATAAGCTATTGATTGAGGTGACAGCGACTTCACTCCCTATAAAAAAAGAACACAAGTTTAAATTTCAAAAAGTACATTTATTAGGAAAGCTATTCCTTAACTGTTCCAAGCCCGAAAGGGATTAATTTCAAATTTAATATAACTTGTGGACACTCTTGTTTCATTTGAAAAAATAAGATTGAACCCACGATCTGCCACCAACAAAGGCAAATGATGCATGTTATAAGAATATGAACTCTACTCAACTTTTTTTTTTTTTTAACACTCAAAGTCTCAAATAATTAATGCAAAATATATATTTTATAAGAAAACATATCATTTGGATAAGTTATTGATAGTGCTGCTGATTAGTAGCATTAATCACTCCTCTCTTTCTTATTCATCTTTTCTATAGGGGGAAATCATGGAATGATTTGATTTTAAACCAAGTATAGTTGCAAATTACTTCAATAATGGTCATTAATTATAACCCGTTTATAATAGGGGTATAATTAAGTATACTTATGAACGATGAAAGAATACTATTGAATTAGCTTTCTTATTATGACAAATTCATTTTTATGTGAATTAATATTGCCACTATTACACACACCCACTGACCCACACATGTGCTTGTATGAATAAATAAATAAATACATACAGAGGATGATAAATTGATAATAGGCTAATTGCAATCTTTGTCTTGGATAATGTTTGAATTGCCAGCAGGAAGCTCTTCTGATGGGCAAGATTAT